ACCCTAATTGAGTCCAGAACCACTCGTGATAGTAAATACTGAATTTTCTAAGCAGATTTGAGTTCCTGTTCTGGGATGGAGGTGCAGGGATGCAGGAGCATGGACAAGGCTCTCTGGAGGCAGCATTTTTACTTCCCCCCAACTTTTCATCCCCAGAAGGGCCAAATGTTGACTTTACCTGTGATGGAGTTAGTATTGCCCAGGCTGGTCCTCAGACATCCCATCACAGATATCCATGTGAAAGATCCCAAAGGATCTCCTTTCCTCACAGTGTGAGATCTGGTGTCAAATCTATGTTCAACACCACTTTGAATCCTACTGGAATGATATGAGAGACTTGGCTGGCACCAAAACCTGGGGTTTTTTTTTTCTTTGGGTGTGATCATGAGGGATGGATTACAAGCAAGCCTTTGTAGAGTGATTAGTTATGTTTGTTAAACCAGTTCTGAGCTGGATCCAGCCTTTTGGTCACGAGGCAGGCAAGAAAGCACAAGTCCAAGTGTGACAGAGTGGAAAACAGCATGTGTGTGGCCCATGCTTAGCAATTGCTGTAAAAAAAAAAAATCCCACTGGCTGTGTGATGTTACATTAGCCAAGGTGTTCCACTGTTTTCAGTAGTGCCTCTGCTTCCAGAAAAAAAAAAAAAAATCTCTCCAAATGAACTGGCTATTAATTGAGGGAGACCTCAAACGATCCCTAACAGCCCATATACTAATTAAAGACAGATCAAAGTGTAGTTTCTCCTGTTCTCTCTGGAGGCAATTCAATTTCTGAGGAGAAAAATAATTCCTCATGGCTTTTCCTTGGTTTCAAGTGCAGAAGTGCACAGTGTTTCCCAGCTGGCAGCAAAGATGTGGGTGATGTATGAGGAGCAGCAGAGACTGAATGCAGGAACATGCTGCTGCCATTTAATCTCAGATAATATATTTCACAATCCTACTCCTGGAGTTTTTCAGCAACTGGTTTAATGTATTGGAAAGTATTTGGCTTGCCTTGGAAATGTTTCCCATTTGAAAACAAGCTGCAGTGGGAGAGCTGGCAGTGGCACAGGAGGCTGCTCTGTGAAAATTGGATTTCCCTGTGTGGCACAGTGGGAATGGGTCACAGGGAGAGCTTTGAGCAACTCCCAGAAAAGGCTGCAGGCTGTGCAGATCTGCCAGGGGAGAACCCTTCTGCTTGGTCCCCAGAGGATTTCTGTCACTCTGTCCCTTGGCAGAACAGGGATTTTGGAACGGATTTATTCCTGGTTTCTGTCCCTCGGGCAAGGAGAACGTGCAGAAGAACAGCAAAGCCTGGCTTACATTCATGAATTTAAAATCTTGGGATTATTTTAAATCTCCAGATGTGGTAGAATCTCTGCTCTAATTCTGCTCTCAATTCAAGTCTATTTTTTTTTTTTAACCTCAACAAGTACAGAACCACTGTCTGGGTCTAGTTTATCAGTAAACAATTCCAGGACACCTGGTCCTGGCTGAGAGAGCCAGAGGTCTGACGCACGAGTTTGGGATACACTGAATTTTCTCTGGGGCCCCGTTACCTGCACAGGAATCAACAATTCCCCTTTCCAGGGGTGATGTGAGGACAATTTCTCCTCCTGTTGTGCAATGCTCTGAGGATGATAATGCTGGAAAAGGCTGCTTGCTCTAGCCCTGGAGAGATTTGTCACTGTGCCTAAGCCCTTTTGGAGACAGATTTATCATTCAGCTCAAGAACGAGGAACAACATCACATCCAAAAAAGTTCTTCTCCCACCCTGGCTTGCAGCTTTCCCAGGCTTTCCCCTTGCCTTTCCCAGCAGAGAGGACCACACACCCTTTGGTGCTGGTTCTCCCTTCCACATTATCTGCAGCTCCTATCTCCACCCCTGGTGCTGCATGAGGCACTGCCTGCCCTCCAGGCTGCTGCAGAGGGAGCCAGCCCCTCCAGGCCCCAGATCCTGCACCCAAACTTGCTTTTTTGCACATTTTTTTCCAGACCAATCCCTTTCCCTGTGGGACAGGGGGTGGGAATGTGTGCCTTGACCCTGGAACAGATTTTGTGCATGGGAAGCTGCTGCATGGGGATGTGATAGGAGTGCTCCTCACCATCAGCACCGTGTGTGCTGCCAGTGAGGATCCCTCTCGTGATGGAAGATGTCACAACCTTCTTGTGATGGTTTGCAGCCACCACACCCCCAGCTGGCCTCCACAGAGCTGTCTCAGCGTGGGCATGAGGCAGGGACCTTGGCTGCACCAGGCTGAGGTGCTCATCCCCATCTCTTTCTGGAGAATGAGGCCTTTTTTAGCCTTTTTCAAACTCGTGTGATCTGGATAAAAAATAAAGGGCAGTGTCCTCTGGTTCCCACTGACAAAACAGAGCTGCAACAGTGGGAGGTGGAGAAAAGGTCCCCAAACGTGGCAGGGATGTGAAGGGAAAGGGTCTGCAGCACACACAGCCACTGGAGGGCACAAGGAGCAAAGCTAAGACCCTTCTCCAAAAGGCCTCTGCAGGACTAAGGATTTATGAATGGGCAGCCTTCTTTCTCAGAACAGCTGAGCTTCTCCTGAGAGGTTTTATTTTTATATTTCTATATTTTAATTTTTATATATATATTTTTAATGGATGTGTTTTCTGCTCTCCCAGGCTGGCATCTCCAGTTGAAGGGACACCTCAGTTCTTGCTGCCTGAAGGTGGACAGCCCCACCATGGCCATTCCTGGCTAATGTTTCCTGGATCCTCTGGCCTTGGGTGGCTTTTTCAGTCCCTCTGGGCCACATTCTCACCCTGGAGCATGGCAGGAGGAAGAAGTTAAAATGCCTGCACCCGGTGGCAATGACTACACAGGACAGAGGGACTCCTGGACGTGGGAAGTGCTTGGGTTTCCAAGGCTCATTGTTAAACACCCACCCACCAGGGCAAAGGAACAAGAATTTGCTCTGTTTTGCTCCAAGAGGCTCTGCCTGGCTCTGTGCTTGCTGTTTACTGTCAGAGGCCATGGGATGTCTCTCTTGCCCTTCCTGAAATGTCTAAAAAAAGCATCTTTGGTTACTCTGTGTTACAATGGGACATCTGCAGCCTGTTCCAGAGCTGTGTCATTTGTCACAACAGGGAGTAGTGGGAAGAAGCTGAAGAAACCCTCCATTCCAGACACCAGGAACTGGCATGGAAGGAACAATGAGAGGCTGTGCAAAATGACTATTGCACCCCAAGGCAGGACCATCACAGCCCCTAAACCAGCCCTGACAGTCCCTACATTAGACTGGGAGTGGGGTTAATGATCCTTCTGGGAAGGGCTGGGGAAAAAAAAAGAGGAAAAAAAAGAGAATAGAATGATGCCTGGAAAATAATAATGTAGGTTAATGCTCAGTGAGAGGGGAAGACAGAGAGGTGAAGAGATCCCTGCCTGGGAGCATCCAGCTGCTTTCTCTGCCTGCCTCTGGTGCCTGCTGCCCTTCTTTGATTTCAGTCAGGTTTTGCTCCTGCTGCCTCAAAAACATTCACTGACAGTGAGACATATGAGGTGAGAAGTCAGCCTTGAGAGTAACACTGGAAAATAATTTCTGGAGGGAAAGAAAGTACATGTTTGGCCAGGTCTACATGCCAGGTCTTGAACCAGCAGAATTGCTTTGGCAAGAAGCATGACTCTGTTTGACTGAGATAGTTATGAATCCAGCTTCAAGGCTGACTGCATCTTTATGACCTGAAATTGCTTTATAGCTGTAATTTATTCTCCCTTTCATACAGGAATAACTCTGGCATGGGCTGGTCATGCTGTAAGTAACACCCAGAGGGTGAGCAAAAAACAATTATTCAGTCTGACGAAACTGGAGCTTGAGGGGCTCACAGCAACCTGCCAAGTGACAGCTTCAGCATTGTCAGAGTAAAGCCATGGACTGCCTTGGGGGGCCCTGTGGGTGCTGATGTGAGCTCAGCATTTGGGCAAGTTCCTGGGTTTTGATGTACAGAGCCCCCCTCCTGTGCCAGGCTGGCAGAGGGCTCGGCCCCTGTGCTGGGGCATGGCAGAGCTGCTGATCCTGCCCCCCTGTCACTGCTGGGGGACACATCAGGCATGGTCAGAGATGGTGTTGGGCTGGACTGACTTTTGGTGTGACCACAAACACACATGGGAGGTTTCAACTCTATGGCTGTGTCTACCCCAGCTGCTTTGCCAGCTCTTCAGGGTTGGGTTTCCATGCATTTTTGGCACACAGAAGGCCTGTGACACATAGATCAACCCTTTGAAGGTCAGAGTCTTCACCTAGAAGTGGTCTGCAGGCCAGACAGCATGTCTGAAAAACCATGCCCAGATCTGACATCCTTTTTTTATCACCTGGTTGAAGGTTTAGACACCACTCACCCTTGGAATGCAACAGCACCAGAGAATCATTGCTAAATGGCTTCACAGTTCCTATGGAATCAAAACATAGCAGCAAGGACTCCCTTCCAACTGGTCTCTCTTCTTATTAAAAACTTGCAGAATAAAATTATTATAAAAATTGAATTAAAGACATTGATGCGTTTTTTATGAACACCATCAGAAAGGTTTTTCAGAGCCACAGGGATAAAAGCTGAAAATAGCCTTTATTCAACTTAGAATAAAAGAGGAAGAGGTAGAATCAGACATTTCTAACATGCTAACCTTTTCATAACCCTGTCCATTAGATGCTTCAAGTGTCTCTGAACTGACCTCAGGTCTTGTCATTTAAACATGTCTTTCAGACCATAACACCTTATCCAAAATGATGGCTCAAGTCAGGCACCTATCAAGTTATATACCCTTATTTCTTCTTCCAAAAGTGCTATGCAATGCCAGAAAAGCTTCTGCATGTCAGTTCCTGGAAGAGACATGATTTCTTGCAAGCTGCAAAATCCAAACAGAACCAGCAAGTTCTTCCATGCCCCTCCTCTGCATTTTTGTGAAAGCACCTTAAAAACACCTTGCAAAGCAAGTGCACTTCTCAGGCTGTTAGCACAACCTAGCTGCAAACTGAGGAGCAAATTTCTTACCATTAATATCCAGGCTTTGTGTAACTGTAAGTCTTGAGTTCTAAAATGTCATATCTCAGCAAAAGGCAGGAGAAATTTTATTTCTATGGTAATTTCTTTAGAATAATTAACTAGCAATTCTCCAATGAAGAATTCAATTCTCAACACGTTACGGCAATAGTTTTGCTATTAGAAAACACTTTTTTTCATTTTTTGTGTGTTCAGAATCTGCTGTTAATGACTCCATTTTCACTGCATCCCCTCCAGCATGTGGTGGTAGTGGTTCTTCTTCTGGAATAAATTGAACAGGCCAGCATCTTCTTTGCTGGCTTCCTACATTGTCCTTACTCACCTTTCCAATTTGCTGGAGATCCTTGACAATTATTTTTTCAGTATCTTCTAGTACTGTTGTCAATAAATTAAACAGCAGAGCAATCCAGGCAAGGCCAAAAAGAATCCAAATGGCCACAAGCACTCGATAGTAGGAAAAGTATTTCCTGTCAGACTGTTTGCCTGAAGATAAGGGGGAAGAAAGAAGGAGAAAATTAAAAAGTTAAAATCACCTTGTCAGTGTAAAGTGGAACAGCCTAATGAATTCATCAGTATGTTTTATATTGAGTACTTTAAAGTGACTTTTTTGTTGTAATGGAGACTCTCAGCTCCAGAGCATTAGGTTAAGGCTGGGCAATTCTCTTATTGTTGCAATGAACTGATATATGCAATAAATATGATACAAATATGCTGGCCTGCCAAATGACACACTGGAATTGAAGTGAATCATTCTGTGATTCTCTGATCCTGTGATTGAGGTGAATTACCATCAAAGCAGGTCATTTTTTTCCCCCCTTACTACATAGCAATCCCAGTTCAACTGCTGCACGTACAGGCAAATGAAATAATGTGGGAAGTAGTGCTAAATTGTATTGTATTATCTTGGAATTGCACCCAAACTCCCAAAGCACAAAAAGCAGAGCACAGTGGGCCACTATAACCACACAACCATTATTATCTGGGTAATTGTAATTCCCTGTATTTCTATAGAGTGTGATTACAACCTAATAAATATTTCCCTTAAACTACAGGTACCTGCAAGCACACAAAGGGAGCAGCTGCAATTCCCACCTCACTTTTGAATGGCTTCAGCAGCTTCCCCCATATAAAAAACTACATGACTGATGAGAATTTACTGACACATGCCAAGAACAGAACTTTCTATGTTGGAAACCAGTGGACCAAAGCTTATTTCATGCAGTCTGATCCTCTTAGCACCAGCCAGGACCTCACACCTGCTGTTCTGCATGGGTCATTTTGTTTGACCCCAACATACAGAGAGTATTTGCTTGGTTCCACACAGTATTATCATCATGGTACAGGTGATGTGGCCCTGGCACCTGCATGGAGTGCTCCAAGTCACTGCCAGAGGAGATTTGACATAGTTGATAACACAGCAATGTTCATGGACAGGGAGACCACCACAAACCTCATGGGGAACCTGCCCAGAAGGAGCCTGGGTCCTGGCAACTCTTTTCAAGTCCTGCACAGATTAATGGGCAAGATTTTTGTTCTTTGTTATCCAAGAGCTGTGGCAATGGGGCAGTAGTGGGCAGGTTTGTCCTCATGCACAGGTATCCAACATTCTGCTGCTGGCATTGAGTTGGCAAAGGCATTCTCAGCCTTGGTACAAAGCATCCCCTTGTTGTGCTCTTATCTGGAGTTCATGATGTGGGGTTAGCAAAGCCACAAGGAACAAGGAACATCTTTGTGTTGTTAACCCAAAACTGGACTTGAGCAGGGAATATTCAGTTAACAACACCAGGGAGTTTCACCCTAGAGGTATCACCTGCATGTACATGTATTCCCAAAAGTCAAACCCAGGCTGAGCCACCTTCCCAGCATGTCTGCCTTCCCCAAGCAGGCTCAGTTACAAACCAGTTTTGAATTACTAAAATGCAAATCAACTCAAACCTGTTCTGTTCCACTTGGCCAGTGGAAAACCATTTATCATCTGTAAGCAATTCTCAGTGCATAATTCTCAGAGCAGTCATTGATCCTGCTCGTTTCATTGTGAAGATGCAAAGCTTATCAACATTTTATCACTGTTGTTAAAGCCAATTAAGATAAATACTGGCAGAGAAAAATATTTTAGATTAAGTCATCCTAATGAAGATGAAATCATAGAGCCATGAGGCCTATCTAATTGCTATTTTTAAATAACAATTAGAAAGTTAAAATACAATTAATTGGTTTTATAAAGCAATATGGCTGCAGAGGAGTGCTATGGAAGTCATGGTTTTCAGGCTGTGACTTGCTGTCATTAAAGTAAAACACACCTGTGATTTGGACAAGGAAAGACAATGCAACATTTTGATGCTCAGTTTTTCTCCTGCATGGCACCAGCCCCTCCCCACCATTCTATTTCATGGAATAGATTTAGAGAAATTACAGTCAGCAGTGACACATCAGTGCCTGGAAAAGTCTGTGGGCTCCCTGTGCCAAAGTCATTAGCCTTATGTAAGAAATCCTTGCAACAGAGAGGCTCCAAGGCCTGTCTAGCACTTCTGCAAGGCTTGAGAGCCTGGGGTTTGTTGTCTGGTGGATGTCTGTCCCTCAGAAAAGTATGTGAAGCTTCCAGACCCTCTGTGGGGACAGCACTGGTGCAAGTATTAGCTGCAGTTTTCTTTGCATATCCCTGCTGAGGAGAGGGTCAGGCTGGCAAGATGATGGCAGGACTGGTTGTTGTAGAGAAATCTTGGATTCTCCATGGAGTTCAGTTTCCTGCTTCTTCTGTGGACACTGATTTTGCTCCTGGTAATTATTTTGCAGTTCTTTTGGAAACTTATTCCACGGAGAGTGTATTTTGTCCAGCAGATTCACAGAAATGCTTTGAGAAGCATTCCAGCATGCTTGAGTGCAGCTTAAACGATGTTTCTTCAGGGGAAATCCTAAGCTCTGGCTTGTGAGGAGAGAAAACCTCCAGAGATATTCAGAAGACTAAAGAAGACCACTTTTGTACTTTCATATTTAAGCGAGTATTATATTGTGAGTAGATTTCCCCAATTTCCCATGACTGGGATTTCCACCTCAGTCTGTTGTGTGAACTCATATATTCTGAAACATGATCACTTATTTCTTCATTTTACACTGTGAAACCTAAATCAGAGATGGCTAAAGCTGTGATATACACCTTGTTTTGTACAGCTGTCATAAACTGTTCCCTCTTGGTAATAAAAATTCCCTCACTCTTCCCTAACCAAAAGACTTGTCTTCTTTGCACCCCAAAGCACCTCATTTCCTTATATTTTGATGATTTGCTGCTTTTATCAGCACACACAACCCCAGAGAAGTGAGTATTTTCCCTCAGAACTGTACAAGGCAAAGACAAGGCAAAGATTAGGCAAAGACTTTTGACAGATTTGTCTCTACAGTACATTCAGTCAGCCCATGGGGATTATTCACCAGTCATTATCCTGGTGTTTGGATGTGTTTCCTCTCTGGAATCATCCTTACCTACAACATAATCTCCAAAGCCAATGGTGCTGAGGGTGATAAATGCAAAGTAAATTCCTTCACTGTAGGACCAGCCCTCTGTTATCTGGAAGAACACTGATGGCAAGCACAGAAAAACCAGGATCCCCGTTGCCAGGAAGAACAAAAGGGTCAGAAATTTGATCTTCTTCTGAAAAATAAACCAGTTCAATTACAATCATGATTTGAAACACAAATAAGCTATATGTAATGGTGGTAAAAGTGGGTGGCTATCTGGGATCAGGAGGATCTGAAGGATTTCTGCTGAGTGCTTTTCCTCTGGAAATACCTTAGTCTTGTTTAGAAGTAGTGGGAAGCCAGGTGTTGCATGTCCACAGTGGCCCTGGAAGATGTAGTCTTTTACTTGACTGTGTATCAATGACTGTGACTATAGGAGGAATTCCTATCTAATGACATTTACAAGAGTCAAAACATTTCTACTTACCACTATACAACTTCACTTTTAATTTTTAGGTATTTAGGGTTGGCAACTAAATTCAGATTTGCCTGGGAAAAGAGTCTTTTTTAATAAAAAATAATTGCACCATTTCTGACAGGACTGTCTTCAAGAGTCTTGATTATTGACTTGATTTCTCATTGCATCAATGCCACAACTTGGCTCCTAACCAGTGGATATCTCACTACAAAAAAAACCCCAAAAACTAATGAGCTCCTGATAAAGAAGAGCCTGGACAGTGACTTTTAAACCATTCTACTTCCCAGCAGTCATGAAGGAGCTTTGACTAGAGAAGAAGACTTGTTATATGTAGAGATTCATCAGCCAGACACACATAGTTTCTATGTATAGAATTTTCCAAATCCAGATTGCCTGGAAATGAATGGCAACTGCTGGATAACTTCTCATGTCTTCATGTATTGTGTACATGCTTGAGTCTGTATCTGATTGAGCCTTATCTTCTGTTTAAGTTTGGCATATATGACAGGGAATTCAGCAATCTGAGCAGGGTTATCTGTAGCAATCATACCTTGTCCTGAAAGAGAATTACTTATAGTAGGAGACACAGAAAAGCTATTCTCACTTCCTCAGCAGTGCTGAGAGAAGAGGAGGAGCTGAAAATAAATTGGGGCATAAACCAGACAAAATTCATCCTGTCTGTAGCTTGTTACAGGTGTCTCCTCATCTTTCAGCAACCAGGCTCAAATGGACATCTCCAGCCTGATGCTTCCTTTCTGTCACAGTTAAGGGTGGAGAGAGACTAAAGGACTGGGTAATCAGTTAGGAGGGGTAGCACACTATGCATTGAGTTAAACTCCATTGAAACCTCTACACCTCACCTAATTTTTACAGCTTTGCACAGCTCACCTGCTTTTTGCAGCCTCAAGGTGATGTTTAATCACCCTTACTGGTTTTAAAGGGATGCACGCACTTCCCTAGGGTGTTGGCTCCTGAGATAAGTGTCTCAAGAAATGAGGTGGGATGCCCCATCTCTCCACTGATTGCTGAAGGGGGCTGGATTTCTGCCATCTAGATGGGAAGACAAAATGCATGCCTTTGTCTGAATATCTCTGACACGTCTGCTTAGCTCTGCAAGTGAAGAATGCACCTTTTCCTGCCCTAGAACAACATCTAACCCAGCACAAAAGAAAATACAATCGAGGATAAGGCAGCATAAAACTTGAGAAAAACACTAGAAATGGGCATATAATTGTGTCTGAGTAAGCAAAAGCAATTACCTTTCTCATTCCTTTCTCATACAGGAACTTCCCCAGCTTTTTACAGAGCAGTGAGAGCATCTTACCAACACGGTGCAGAAAAACAATGTTCAGAGGGATTCCAAAAAGAGCAAAAAACACACAAAAGATCTGTCCCCCAGCAGTTTTAGGATGTAATGTGCCATAGCCTATAAAAAAAAAAAAAAAAAAAGATGGGTCAGAGGAGATATTCCAAAGAACTGCAGCAATTCACAGTCATATTCACCCTTACTCCAATCCAGCCTGCCTTTGGCCCTAAAAGATGTGGCTAGTGTTTCTCAGCCCAAATGCACTCCTTTTTCCTCTGAAAAAGGCAGTAAGCAGATGAAGTGGTTCACCCTGCATGTCTGGGGGAATGCAGAAGCACCGTGTGTTCCCAACACAGCTTTAATGGGAACAAAAACACAATCAAGATTTAATTATGGGAAACATGCTCTGTCCCGTGACAAATACATGGAAAGTCAGAAAATAGAACTCTGAGGATCTGGAAGACATCAGAGCTGGAGTCCCAGGCTGTCAGGATCACATCTCCAGCTTCTTGTTGATGTGCCTGTGTGTTAGTGACCTCCCTGGCTCCATCCCAGTGAGTTGCTGGGTCCAGATACTGACTCCAGTCCCAAGGCACTGTGCATTAGAATAGATGGTGCTAATTAGCCCAGACCTTGCTGGTGGCTGATTTATTCATGCCAGAGAGACATTTGCCTTAAGTTCCTACTAAGAGAGGATTTATATAAGTAGTGGAACAACCCCAAACATGTCTTTTAGTCTCAAGACTCTTGGACCCCATGAGGTACATGGCTGAGTGCAAGAATACTGAACTTTGTGTATGTCCTTATGCTATCAGTGGCCCTGGGAAACTGCATTTCCCATGCACAGTTCATGTCAAGGCATCCATTACTTGGAAAATGCAATGCTTTCTTTGGGGGAAAAGACAAAACAACTGAGTGATTTTTGGGCTACTGGATTCCCAAATGCATGAGCTGTCTTGTGCTCCCTGTTGCAGAAATATTCCAGTTTCAGTGATGGGTCAGAACCCTCCCCTTCTACAGCAGGAGATCTCCCTGTGGGCTCAGGCAGCAATTACACAGCTCCCATAGTGCTGGGACACTGCTGGGGCCCTTGGGACATGTCACACTCACAGATCAGATGTGCTCAGGGTCTGGTGGCAGTGAGGCCTCAGCACCACTCTGTAATAACACATATTTGACTTCCACTGCATGACTGTGAAGCAAGTCCCAACAGTATGGACTTTATGCTTAAGTTTGGTGGGCCTGCACTTTTTGGGATGTACATTTGAAAGAAAGGACAAAGCAGGTAGGGCAGGTCCTGTAAAGGTCAGAACAGCTTGAAGCAGCAGTGTAACATTCTCAGTATTTGCCTTTACCCCTTCCCATTTTTTTCCTCCTGGCATGTTAATAACTGAATATGTGAATTAACAGCTCAAAACAGGTTATGGAGACAGTGCTCAGGCCCCAGCAGGATTCACTTCTTTCCTTACATTTTTTATGTTTTACAGCACTCTCAGATTTAAAGCCTGGAATAAACACCAGGAAAGTGAAGTTCATATCCCACCCACAAATACCAGCACACTGAACATTATAACAGATGATTTGAAAAGAAGAAACAAGTGGGAAATAATAGGAAATACTGATATTTGACAAGCCAAAATAAAGTATGAGGAACTGTGCACTGGGAAGGTCTTAGGACTAAGTCCATGCTTGCTTGCCACCCATGACAGCAAAAGGCTGTAGTTTTTATCCTGGAAAGCATTATCCATTTATGTCCTAATAACCACACATAATAAGCATCACTCACACACAAGCACACAAAAATGGAAAGCATTAGACCTACCTATTGTGGAGACAACTGTGCCTGCAAAGAAGAAGGAGTTGCTGAAATCCCAGTTGCTCTCTTCAAACTGTGACTCATTTCCAACAGGGTACACTCCATTTTGAATGGCTTCAATCAGGTTCTGGGAGAGAAAGCAAAGTTTGGTATCACCATGACTGCTCTTCTCAAGAGCTTGCTGCAAAAATATTACAGGTTTAGCCAACTGCTGCTCCTCTCCTGTGAGTACCACTCACCTCCCTTCAGAGACTGTCTGACACTATTCACACCTTCACCTCCAAGGTTGGGAAGCCATTATCCAGAGGGTTTGGGTGTTCAGCTTCTGCCCTGTTTGTGCTGACTGGGTGTTTGGAGAGAAGTGTTTCTTTCAGCGTGACCAAGGACCTTGTTTCTTTCAGACCAAGTAGTTTGGAAAATCACAATCCTGTGAGTGACTGGGATGTGGCAGCACACTGGTTAGGAGATGGGGGTGGCTGATTGCTGGATTTGGACTTGCAGTTGAGATGGCAGTGGTGGATCCAAGATCTGATCACCCACGTGTATGAGCAGTGGCTCTGATCCCTCCCAGTGCTGCATCAGTGAGTTGTGCCAGGGTACACATGAGATACACTGAGCATTTCATTTCAAGTCTGTATTCTGATTAGTGTCACAGAGCTAAATTCAGAGAAAGTCCATTGATTTTCAAAGCCTGACATACACATTCTTCTCCAAACTGTATGCATGAATACTCATAGATAAATTTACACATTTGCACACATGTTTGCAAAGCTGCTTTGAGAGGAGGTTAGAGGAACATCTGTCAGAGATGGTTTGGGTTGAGTTGAGACTGCCCTGCCACCCAAGGCTTGACTAAATATTTCTTCCACACCTCTCCAGTGCTGCATTTATCACTTTATGCATTTTTCGGAGTCTTCCTTCATTTTAATTCTAAATGCTGCTATTTTTTATCTTTTTTTTTTTTTTTTAAGTTAAAAGGAAATTTTAAAATCAAACAGTATCCAGCTGTCCCTGTCTTTACAAACAGAGAACAGTGGACTGGACATCTGGAAGGCAGGCTGGTTTGTACAGAAACAAATTAGATAAAATTCAGGACAGAGCCCTGCCAGAAGTAGGACACGTGCTGGAATAAATTGCACCAGCAAAATCTTCCTCCCTACTTCTCCCTTCACTAGTTTTTTGCTGGTGTCTCAGAAAATTGAGGCTAATAAAAATAATTTCCATAGCCTTTGCACAAAGGTTTCTTTGTCTTAAAAGCTCATTTTTTCTTTCCTTCCCTTCTTGAAAAGCTCTCTATTTTTTCTTTACCTTCTTCCCTACCCATAAAAAACAAGGTGAAGAGGATGCATGCATGGGTGAAACAGGGGCTGAAATTCTGGTTCTGCTATTACAAACACCAGTTCTTCCCCACATTTCTTTTTCTGTGAAGTGGCCCACTAAGAGCTCCACTAGTTTTCCATGTGGAAATGCTTCCAGCAAGGTTTAACACCTCATTTTCTCCTGCATTACAGCAGACAGAGCTCTAAAATACCCAAGTTGAAGAGACAGCCTTATTCATCTTCATCTTCTGTGCCATGACCAGAAATATTTTCCCCATGCCAGGCTACCTGTTTCTCTTCTGCAGCATCCTCAAAAACGAAACTCTGATCATGCCATCCTCCTCGAAAACGAAACTCTGATCATGCCACCCTCCTTGTAGCTATTTGGAGTCTTTTTCGGTTTTTTTTCCCCCATCCAGACCTTTCTTTATTGTTTCTGTATTGCACTATCTGTGATGCTGTTCCAAGTGACAGCCACACCTATTCATTTCAGACAGCCTCATTTTTCTTGCCATGCCACCCATTGTGTAAGAGCACAGCCCCACTAAAAACAGAATGAGGAGGCAAGACCCCAAAAAACCCAGGATATTGTAGGATGGGGATCTTTAATATCTATCACACACAAGGTTTTGTCCAGCTACACAAGCTGTATTTACCATCAGACTGAGCTGCCTGCTCACACCAGACAGGGGCTTGCTGGAAGCTTCCAAGTGACCCCAATCAGAAGGAAAGCAGTGCGAGTTACCTGTGAAACAAGGATGAGTAGGAAACAACATCTGATGGGGAAAACAGGAGGGAGAAAGGACGTCCACTCACCTTCATGAACTGCTCCATCTCTGCCACCGTGAGCTGCGTGAAGTTCTGCAGAAAAGCCTCCTTCATCTGGGCAGCTGCCATTTTCTCCTGCTTCTCAGCAGTCCTCTCCAGGGCCTGGAACACGGCAGCACCCACCAGCAGGTAGACAAAGTAGCCAGCCACCAGCAGAGCTGTCTGCAGCCTGCCACTGCACATGGCCTTCAGGGCGGCTCTGCAGGGGATGGGGAGCCAGAGGTGGGGACTGTAAATCCCTCACACTCCTGGGAAGCCTCCCCCGGGCAGGAAGAGCCCTCCCAGCTCTGGTTTCCGCTGGGATCCCGCACTGGCAGGGACACTGTGCTGCCAGATGCATTCATTGGGAAGCTGGAAGTGGAGGGGGGGGGAATCACAATAAACCCAACCCCCCCCAAGAAAAAACTTTCCATTCTCTGAGCTGCATGCTGTTTAGGGATTTCCTCTTGTCTGTGAAACTCTCCCTTGCTGGGTTCTCAGGAAAAGTGGGTCAGGATTGGAGCAGCTGGCAGGTGGCCATCTCCTGCTCAGAAGGCTCTGGGGACAGGTGAGGACAGTCTGGAAGGGTTTCACAGGGGAGTTTGGTTGGAAATCCATTGTTTTCCCTGCTGAGTCCAAGAACAGGACTCCAGGGCAAGCCTCTGATCCCAGGAGCTCCTTCTTGCCCCATGTTTAGGGGCAGCCTCAGGGAAATGCAGCTGGACTGATCTTTTGGGCTTCACTTGTGTGCTTGCAGCACAGAGCAGGGTCATGCAGCCCTGCAGAGCCTCAACAGCTCAGAGCAAAACCTTGGACACTCAGGCAAATGGCTGTGGTTGCATATGTGCCAAATCCAAACAGGTTTCTTCTGCCAGCAATTCCTCTGCGGTGTATCCAAGGGAATACATTACACTGGTACTGGGTACACAGTTAGATGGATGAAAAAGTAGTTATGCCATCAGATCCGTGGAGTCATAAAATCATAGAATTGTTTAGGTTGGAAAAGACCTCTAAGGTCATCAGACATGGTGCTTAGGGTCACAGGTTAGTGGTGGGTAGTGCTGGGTTAATGGTTGGACTTGATGACCTTAAGGGTCTTTTCCAACCAAAGTGACTTTGATTCTCTGTTTCCTACAGCAATGTAGCCTCTGCTGATTTCAGAAGGATGGTTCTCATGCATCGAGAAGTTATTTATATAACTGTCAGAGCTTGTTCCCATTGCTTCAAGAAGAATTTGGGTGCCACTGAGAAGAATTTGTGAGAGAGGGAAGCCCTTGAATGAAGATGTTGATTTTGGAACAGACAGCAGACAGGTCTGAGGTTGGCTGCACCATGGACATTGTTAACACTCATTAATTTTCTTGATTTTCCATTTCCCAGCATTTTCATTTGCTTTGTGCACAATTTCTTTTTTATTTCAGCAGATGCCCTACTTTAATAATGAGAACACACTGAAGCAAATCACCGTTTGAAAAAGCATTTAAAATGTACCACCTGTTCTGCTCTTCAAGTCTTTGTGGTTTTATTTGGTTTAAAAATATCAAGGCAGAGACTCTGGGATTAGCTTTGCAGAACTGGTGTAAACAAGAAGCAGCACGTGGCTTCACTCTGTCAACTGCAGGTTGTCCTTTCACATATAAATCTGTTTGACCTTAGAGGAAAACAGGAAGACTATGAATGAAGGTAAGCAGCTTCCGAAACCCTTACATGTTTGAAGATCTTCCTTAGGGTTACTGGAAAAGGGTTTGTTGAAACAGGATGTGCCGTGTTTCCTTTAACTTCTTTTGAAGCTACACGTCAAAGGTGTGCTTCTTCCTCAGATTTAAATTATTGCTCTAAAATAAGGACAATTCTTTTGTGTCTCAGTCTCCCAGCCCCGTGAGATAAGATAAAGCCCTTTATATGTACAAATGCAACATGTGTTCATCATTCTCAACAGACATGAGGATAATACAACTGGATTATTTCCTCAGCTCATCTGAGGGGAAAATGGATGACAAAAACATGAAACTCATGGAAGATAATGAGAATTTCAATATTGATGACAACTCCAGTGGTTTGATTGTGTGGGTAAGATGCCAAGAAACCTCATTTTTCTTATCTGTCTCCTCCAGCCTGTATATATACATTAAATTGGGTTTCCCTCTAGGAGGGACTATTTGTGCCTGCATCTCCAGAAACCTTTGATTGCAAGGAAGTTTGGTGACCTTGTTTTTTCTCTAGTTCTGGAACAGGGAACAGACATCAACTTTTCTCAGTCTGTTTCTTCATACAAAGAATCTTTAATAGCCTGCCTGTGTATCTTTAATAACCACTACAGATTGTTTGAATGTGAGAGGAGTGTCCCATCACACAGCATCTTGTTCATACTTGGGTTGACACCTCCACAGGGAACAAGGGAGGGAAAACACAGTTCACTGCTAGGATATTTGCAGATAAGTTGCTTTGAGGAAGAAAGGAAGGGGGAATTCACTCAGTGGAATGCTTTACTTGAAGCCATTCCTTGTAAAGGTAAGAGTATTTTCCATGAGCGTTGACTGTTCTCCTCTCCTTGTTTTGTCTAGATTAAAAACTGTAAAACATGCTCTTGGTGGAGGCTGCTAGAGCTGTACCGCTTGTTATAGCTCCTGAGTGTCAGGGGCTTGAGACAAAGCACCATTATTGACTCAGTTTCCCCACAGGGGTCTGGGTACTGCGTTAGCTTGACACCATTCACCCCAGTCATGAAAACCAAGCACTTCCCAAGTGCTGGCAGCTGCTGTAGGTACAGCACCCTCATGCAAAGGTTGATGCTGGCATCTCACAACTCTGCTTCATAACCACACTGATAGCCTGTCTAGATAGCTGGGAAGGTAGATGGGAACACTGTACCTGTGTACAGTGTACCTGTACCTGGTGAGCCAGCCACCATTACCTTTGTCCTTTGGGAGATCATGAATACATCCCACCTGGGTGCAAGTTATCATAGAAGTCATAGAATGGTTTGGGTTGGAAAGGACCTTAAAAATCATCTACTTCCAACCCTCCAGCTGTGGGCAAGGAAGCCACCCACTATATCAGGAAGGGCCATGCTCAGGGCCTCAGCCAACCTGGCCTCGGACACTGCCAGGCAAGTTAATAGAACTCTTTTTGTAAATCAAAACAAATTTCTGCTGGCAGCACCTCTTCTCTCGAGTCCCCAACCCCTTATGGTGCCATAAGTTCTGACAGACCTATTCAATGGCATTTGTTTCTCAAGAAGGAGCTGAAGAAATGGAAGTGAGGCCTCATCTCTGTAGCTTTCAATTGTGGGAAACCAACAGATCCAGCTACCAAGAACTTCTCCACAACCCATAAATTGACAGGACTTCTGCTGGTCCAGTTCCCTCGGGACTGCCCCACTGCCACCCAACCTATGGCTTGTAGTTCCAGCAACGAGATCCACTGGCCTGCCTGAGGCTGTGGTGGGCTGGGGTGCAGTTCCCTGGCAAGGGGTGGTGGCAGAACGTGGCTATCATGGCACTCCAAACCTCGTGCTCAGGTGCTGTGAGAGCTGGCAGCTCCCTCAGGGCCCTGGAGCTGGGAGCTGAGTGTGCTAACACCGTGGTCTCTCTGTCCCACTGCCCCCAGCCAGGGAGCAGGGCAGACCTGGAGGTTCTCAGCAGGTTCAGCCAGCCCTGATGAGTGTTCATAGAGCAAGTTCAAGTCACAGAATCACAGAATAATGAGGTTGGAAGAGACCTCTAAGATCACTGAATCCAACCTATGCCCTAACACCTCAACCAGACTATAGCACCCAGTGCCATGTCCAGTCTTTTTTTAAACACATCCAGAGATGGTGATTCCACCACCTCCCTGGGAAGAGCATTCCAGTACTTTATTATTCTTTTGGTGAAAAATTTCTTCCTAATATCCAACCATTACTTTCCCTGTCAGACAAAATATCTCTTTTCTGTCAGAAAAAAGTCAGAAAATCATCCTGCAGCTCAGCCAGGCAGGGCTGTGGGGACTGGGCCAGGCAGGGCCTCCTGGTGGGCTTGGCTTTTTGGGACCCATGGCTGGGCTAGGCAAGCTGGAATGGGCAACCTGCAATGCCACTGGAACACAGATTGACAGCCCTGGTTTGGGCTGGAGGTGGTTCCTAGGCCATGCAGGACAGAAAGGAAGCTTGGGTGAGCTGGTCATAGCCTTGGCAGACATGGAGGCAGTATGTCTGGTAAGGCAGTTAATTAATTGGGGGCAGTGTGTCTGCTAAGGCAGTTAATTAATAATTTTTGTTCCTGAGCTAGGAGAGATCCATGACGCAGTTAAGGGACCAGGGAAGGAGGAGCCATGCTGACTTTTTCCATCTGCATTATTTACCCAGTCCACTGCAGGGAAACCCAGGCAGTGAGATCCAGTGGTAACAGAGGGCAGGGAACATTTCCTGCCTATAACATGATGTGCTGGACAGGGTTTTCTTACGCTGAGAAAGACGCTCCTCTGTCCTCAGTGTGTCCTTTCCTCCTCCACACCCCAGTCATGCCCACAGTTTAGCCATTTTCTTTTTCTACATATGGCATCTTGCTGCAGCATTATGCATTCTGTGTCCTTAAGCAGATTATAGCCTAAAATAAATTCCAGTTTAATGGAAAATATTATCAGTTTCCATGGGAATGACTTACCATGTGATTGTGGTTGTACTTCCTCTTGTGCTTAGGGCTAAAACCATTAAATGATCAGTATTTTTTACACTTTCTTACAGTTCCCCTATAAATATCTATTCCTCATAATGGGTCAGAACATTCAGTCTTCAAACGTGGGTCATTTTGATTTTTATGCTATGATCTTATGCCAGATTATCAAATACTTAGGCTAAAGCTGGATTCCACAGAGATCCTCCTACTTCCTAGTTTGTTATTTCAGGTCTGCAAAGCCAAATTCCTGTGGATAGCTATCAGCTGTCAAGGAAATAGGCTGATATTAATGAGTGAAGAAAATGCTGAAGCTGGTCACTTGCCTTTGGTAGCTGGCTAAGACCTCTGGTGTTCAGGCTGTGTCAGGCAACCCCTATGGAGAACTATCCAAGTGCTGTGTGAGTCCTGGCTCACAGCATTGGACACAGTGATCAGCTGGGCCCAGGAAGAAGGGAGAGGTGTGGTAAAGATGTTTTAAGAAAATTGGTTTTATTTTTCATTATCCCACTCTGATTTGATTGGTAGCGAATGAAATATGCTTCCCCCAGA